TCTAAACACTCCTCTGCAGCTGGGGTAGACTGGCTTTGGGCGAGGGAGTAGGGTGTGAGGGTGTACTGGAGAGTAGGAGAAGCAGGTGGGGGCTGTACCATTCAGGTGAACAAGTATAGGGACAAGGCTCTGGGATTTGATAGGGATCAGACTTGGGTGTGAGTCCTAACTGTCACTTTCTAGCTGTGTGATCTTAGGCAAGTTGCTTACCCTCGCTGAGCCAGTTTTGTCATCTGCTAAGTAGGGTTGTTGTAAGGATTAAATGCTTATAATGAACTTAGCACTGTGCCACGACAGATTCAATAAACCTTAGCTTTTTATTGTTACTATCTTAATGATGTATATACCATGGGATGCTTCCCTGGAGTTGTGGCCCAAACATCCAGGTGCCCCTCTGCACTCTTCCTTTGTGGGAAACGGCAAGTATTGGGCCCTGAGCTGAGAGTCAGGAGGCCTGGATTCAAGCCCAGCTCTGCCACAGACATCATGTATACCTGGGCAAGTCTTTTTCCCACTACAAGCCTCGGTTTTTCCATTTGTAAAATGGGAAGAACCGTTAGTCTGTGTCTCTAGGGTCCTGCCAGTTCTGCCCATCAGTGACTCTGGGATGTGATCTGGGCTGGCCTGGAGGTTTCGGTGCATCTCAGTCTGGTTCCATTCTGTAGAATATCTTGGATCCCTTGCTTTCCTGGCTCCTACTTGACGTATTGTCTTGACATTATTAATGCTATTCACTCCCTAATTTTCATGCATTTCCCTTTTCCTTCCCCTGTCCAGACCCTGCCCTTCTTTTCTAGTCTACCTCTTTCCTGAAACCTTACAGGCCAGTCTGTTCTTCCCGTAAGAGGATGAACCAAGGAGATTTGCCCAAGGGAGTCATCATCAATTTCTTCATCATCGCCATTATTACTCCCATTTCTGGAGTCCTGTGCTAAGCACTTTATATGCATTACCTCATTTAACCAAATGAGCTTACATATGTAAAGTGCTTGGCAAAGTGCCCGGTACATGTTAAATGATCGATATTAGCTATTTTACTGTTTTTATCCTTCTAACTGTTATTCCCCACAAGGGAAGAGACATTATTACCCCATTTTTCAGATGAGGAAAGTGAGGCTCAGAGAAGGGATAAAGTTTGCCTGCGATCACTAACAGTGACAGCTAGTCAGTGACAGAAGCAGGATGCGAGCACTCTTCTGCCTGAGCAGAGAGCCACCCCCTCTCCGCCCTGGACCACTCTGCAGCTCACATTTCGGCAGTGTGTGACCTCCCACAGATCTGTTCATTGCTTCAAGCCTCAGTTGTGTCATCTGAAAATGAAACTGAGAATGTTTCAATAGGATCATGCACATGCCTGGCACTGGGAGCCTGGGAGTGCTCAAATACATCACTGCTGTGCCTGTTCTTGTCCCACCTGTGTGACCTTGGACACATGCATTCACTCCTCTGGACCCCAGCTTTCTTCCTCTGTCAAAGAGAGTCATCCCTACCTCTCAGAGTTATGAAAGGGACTTAGCCAGTGCCATATACATAGTAGGGACTCAGAAAGACATCAGTTTCATTCTCTTCCCTTCTGGAACGCACTTTGCTTTCTTGAAGGTGGTGGGTGAGGGCGGAAATGTAGCTTCCTGCTGAGCTGCGAGTAATGGTGTGAAACATGGTCAACCTGATTGATGTCGTTATTAGCGATAGTGATGGTGAAGACCGGAGGGAGACGGCGCCTGGGGGTGGGGGCGGGCGGGCTGCGCTCTGAAGCAGCTGCTTCTGCCAGCTCATGGCTTCCTGGGGAGCATCTGGCTTTGCTGTGGGTGCTTCAGGTCCTTGAGCCAGGCTTTGGAGTCAGGAGCATGAAACTGTCCAAGCCACTGACCCCTATAGACAGGTGGGGGGTGGGGTAATCACCTCCCTTTTGCAGATGAACAGGCTGAGGTTAGACAGCTCTCAAGACCCTTATGATGTTGGCAGAGCAGGGTGGAATGGAGAAGGGGGCCTCTGTGGGATGGGGGTGGCCCTGGTTCTGCTCCTTTGCAGGGGTGGGTGAGTGGGTGATTTTGCGATAAGCTCCCCATAAATGGCAGCTGCTCTAAATAATCTGGCACAGGGGTTAGGAGCAATATCTCTCGGGTCAGACAGTCATTGCTGCCTTGCTTTGTGACTTCCAGAAAGTCCCTTACCCTCTCTGAGCCTCTGACTCTCTCCTATAAAGTAGTCAGAACAGCAACTCCTACCCCGTGGCAGTTTGGGGGATTCCATGAGACAGTGTCCAAACAGCACGTGCCTAGCTGAGGGGATGTGCTCCCTGTGGTTAGCTCTTATTTGCCTTGAGACTTGAACAAGTCACTTCTGCCCCCATCTCTGTCTGGATTAGAGATTTGCTGATCAGAGTCATGCCCGTAAGTTCTTCAGGTCTTAGTTTCTTTATAAGGAAACTATGGTTCAGTGGAAATAATAATGACAGCAGCAGCAATAATAGTAATAATAATAATAAACAACTTCCTTTTTTGTTTGGTGTCTGCTATGAGCCAGGTGCTATGCTAAGCACTTTGTATACCTGTCCCTTGTTACTATCTGGCTTATTCATGGCCACCACCCTGTCCCCATTTCTACTCATCCCAAGGCCTGTGTAGGGTTTAAGGAAAGTGATGCAGGTTGAGAAAAAGTTCCCCCCAAAACAAATTAACCTGTATTGAAGACTTATCAGCCCTCATAACAACCCTTACGAGGTAGGTATGGTTTTTATACCCATTTACTGATGGGCATACTGAGGCTCAGAAGAATGAAGTGACTTGTTGCCAAGGAAATAAGATACAGTCTAGGCCTCAGGTGAGTGATCAGGGGGAAAGGATTTGAGGACAGTTGTAAAATCTGAACCAAGCTCTAATCATTGCAGTCCCCTTTCCTCTAGTGTCAGGGAGGGGTGGGTACTGGGAGAGCAGGCTGAGACCAGAGATGTGTTTTTTCAAAAATAGTTCTAGTCCACAGGGAGTGCAGCTGGCTTTGGTCTGGGGAATCCCAGTCCCAGTGCCCTTGGCTTCCCTTCTTGATCAGGAGAGGGAGAGGAATGGTGATTTGGAGACAGGGAGACTCTCAGGCAGCAAAGCAAGCCTTCCTGAGACACATGCTTCTGCCAATAAGCACCAAGGTTTTAGAAGAGCTGTATCTGTGGTTGCAGGTTCTACTGGGTTGCCCTGGCCTCCTGACCCCTGCCTCTCAAAGCAGCTAGCAAATCCTGGGGCAGGGAGGTTGACTGGAAAGAGCTTGGGCTTTGGGGTCAGGCTGGGATTTGAGTTTTATCTCTGCCTTTTTGTAGCTGGGTGACCTTGGGAAGACACTTAACCTCTCTGAGCTTCACCTGCATTTCTCTAAATCAGGATAGTAATAATCTTTTTTTATTATTATTATTAGTAGTAGTAGTAGTAGTAGTACTGATTTTGGGCGGGGGAAGAGAAATATCTATTTGTTGTTCCATTTATTTATGCATTCATTAGTTGCTTCTTGTATGTGCCCTGACTGGAGATCAAACCCACAACCTTGGCGTATCAGGACAATGCTCTAACCAGGTGAGCTACCCAGCCAGGCAGGATGGTAATAATCTGCCTCAAAGAGTTGACAGAGGCTCCTTTGAGGTAAGATATGCTGAGAAGGAGCTCACAAAGAATTCACACTGTTGAATGCACTGGAAATGAGAAAGCAGGTTCTATGAATCTGAATTCTGTGGGGTAGGAAATAGGACATGTCTCCTTTTTCAACCAGTAGAAGGCCCAAGTTGGAGCAGAAGTTCTGTTAAATCTTGTGGCCTTGAACCTGACTGTCCCTTGGTTTTCTCTTCTGTAATATGGGGACTATAGTGAGGGTGACCTGAGATAATGCAGGGAGAGCTCTGGGCACAGAGCCCGGTGCTCACTCAGAGGGAATCAGAGAGAAAAGTTTGACCCTCTCTGTCCCCCTCTGTAAAGGGAGAAGGTTGGACTCCAGCTGTGAGTCATCAATGAGTCTGTCCTTTCCCAGAGAGAGATCAGAGCTGCTGCCACAGCGGCCCACCTTGCTGCAGGCTCTGGGAAGAGGAGACTGCCTTTGATGGCCTTCTCCAGGCTTTGCACCTGGCTGTCAGATTGTCAGGGACTCAGGCGACATCTTCCCTCTTTCTGTTTGAATAAGTGTTTATACTGTCCCCATCCCAAATGCCCACATAGCATGCTTGGTTGTAAAATGAAGTGTCAGACCACAGAGGTTGAGAGCAGGAGATTCTGACCCATCATTAATCCCTAGTCACCACCGGTGAGTTTTCTGAACTCCAGAAAAACTAAACACCATTGGGTCAGAGAGTAAGCATTGTCTCCAGCTAACCCTACCTGGAGTTACAGTCAGCAGATATTTGTGAAGAACCCACAAAGTGCTGGGCACAATCCTAAGTGCTGATTCACCTTAAGGTACAAAACATGCCCTCAGCTGCAAGCCAGAATCCCCTGGTTCTCAAACTCACTTGCTGTGCAACCTTGAGCTGGCCCTGCGTCTCTCTGAGCCTCATTTTCACCAGTCTGACACTGGGGCATGGAGGAAAGTGTAACAGTGGTTTTCGAACTACAGAGGCCCTGCAGTGGCAGACTGACAATCAGGTGATGAGTTCCCTGTCCCTGGCAGTGATTAAGAATTATTATATACGTTGGATGACCACTTGGACATGGATCCAGGTCCCTTGGAGCCACCAGATGTGGTTCTGGGTCCTGAGAGGACAGTGACGATACTACAAAATGGTACCTAGTACAAATAATTAAAATTGCGAGCATTTTTGTGCTCTTCCATGAGCCTTTGCCATAAGCATGCTCCACCCCCTCCCACCCCAAATCACAGAACCTGGCACAGGAAGTAGGGAATGGGAGTCTATAGGCACTTTTCCTCCCTTGATGGTTCTGGTTACCCCTTGCCCTAGAAGGGGAGGCAGCCCTGGGGTTTTCAGGGTAGGGGTGGTTCCTAAGCCTCTTTTTGCGGGGAGGGAGGATAAGTTCTGCAGCCCCAACCTGAACCAGAGATGCGGGTTTTCAATTACACAATTAAATGCACAATTAGGCATAATTACCAGTGCTCAGAGCCTGAGACTGCTCATAATAGGCGTGTAATCTACTGCAGCCTCTGTTTATACTACTCAGTGCGCTCCCTAATGATGCCAGGATGCCTTCACACTGCACTGTTGCCATGGAGATGAGCCTGCCACCACCATCCAGGGCTGACAAATGGTGTTCTGGTCCGGATCCCTGGATTGCTTCTGAGGCCTCTGCAGCCAGCCCTGGAGTGGAGGGGCCAGCCAGGTGGGCCAGGCAGGTGAGTCAGTCCTCCCTGCCCTCTGACACACCTCACTGGTTTAAGCGAGCCTTGGAGCCACCAGGGAGGACAGGAGAGGGGCGCTTCAGCCTCTCCCCACCTCCTAGAGTCCTCAGTCCTTGAGTAGGATGGCCCAGGTGCTGTGAAAGGTCTGTGGTCATCTGTGCAAGCTGAGATCTGGACAGGGGCTGGATCCCTCAGAGGCCTGAGTCTGCGGTGATCTGGCTCTGGGACCTTGGACAAGCCCTCACACCTCTTTGGGGCTTTGTTTCCCCTTGTGTGAAATGAACTCAGGCTCTCTGCACGAGGTGTGGTCTAATAGAGGAGATTTATTGAGCACTTATGCACACTGCCTACTGTTGGAACGGCTTCACCTGTAGAGGCTCATTCACCCTCGCTACACCCTTATGTAGTAGACACAGTTTTACAGAAGCAGAGCCTGAGGCTGCAGGCAGTGCTGGAGCTGGGGTACAAACCCAGGCAGCCAGACTGTAGGCCCCACTCCTACCCTCTAACATATGGCCTCACACATGTCATCTCACGTCTCCCTCGCAGCAGCCCCAGAGGTGGGCTGTGATTATCCCCATTTCCTAGACGAGGGCTCTGGAGCTCAGAGAACTGAAGTCATTTGCTGAAAGTCACACAGCAAGACAGTGGCAGAGCGGGCTCTGGCAAATGCCAAAGCCAGGGTTCCTAACTTTGTCCTCTTAGTGGAAGTCATGGAGGGGTAAAAAGATTTCCTTCCACAGACACATACCAAGGATCCCCTTTATCCCACCTGCCTGGCCCCAGGCGCTGAGGAGGCCCACCCAGCACTTGGCTTTGACCTTGAAGGAAATTTGGGCCTCATTCTAACTCCATCAACCTGCCCTTACCTTGGTCATGAGAAACAGAGCCCGTTATACTCATTTCCCCCCACATGTCTCTGTCGCTCAGCACATTATTATGGACACTAACTATGTGCCAGCTCTTGGGGATGGCAGTGGAGAAGCAAGACTGGAGTACAGTCAGATGGGCCCGAGTTCAAACCCTGCCACTTAATAATGATTTGGAGCAAGCTGCTTGACCCATGCCTTTGTTTCTTCATCTGTTAAGAAGGTACCAAGCTCTACTTGCAGTGTCATTGACAGTATTAGCAATCACAGCTACCACTTGCCAAATGCTTACTATATGCCAGGCACTCAGCTAAGGCCATTATATTCCCTCGGTGAACCTTCAGAACATATAGTGTGTCGTTCCCATTGAACAGATGAAGCAACTGAGGTTCAAGAAGCTCAAGGGCCTTGCCCAGGGCCAGTGAGTGGCTAAGCAGGCTTCAGAGCCCCTGCTCTTCCCCCACAGGTGTCCCGCCAGCGTGGAGGTGTGAGTGTTCCTCCTGCCACTTCCCTGGAGCCCCCAGCTGCTTGGCCAGTTCTTAGAGAATGAGGCATCTGGGTGAAAGGGCATTCTGAGGGTAAGGGTGAGGGTGACAGTGCCCGCCTGGCCCAGCTCAGGGTTCTGTCTAGCTGGATGGTTCCCATTGACATCTGACGTGTGGGTTTGCTGAGAGGGGCCTGTCAGGCATTACCTTCGTCCCTACTTTCTACAGCCCAGAAAACTAGGATTTGCCCAAGACCACAGTGCAAGTCAGTGGCAGAGTTGGGACTGGGACCCAAAGCCAATTTAGGACACTTCTTGTAACCTCTGTTTTAACCCCTACCCTCTCTTTTGGAGAGAGGGGCTTGGGGGCTTTGGTGTGTATGTTGTTTCTTTGTATGCATTCGGAACGGCACACAGCTCCATGCCTAAGCATTTGTGGGGCAGACACTGGCACGTAGAAATTTGTGGATCAATAAACATCCCTTCCCGCTTCCTCCCTCTTCATTTATTCATGAACTCTGAACTCCTTGGCTCCAGAGAAACTGCCTGGAAGAAAGCAATTAGAGCATAATTAGAACCACTCCTATTGTCAACTCTCAGCGGGAAGGGAAGTGGGGCTGCTAGGGCGAGGGGATGGCCCTGGGAGTTCCCTCCAGCCCCAGCTCCCAGCTGCCCATTGAGCTTCTGCTGCCCCTGTGGAGCTCGGCCTCCCTGGAGTCCTGGGCACCACCCACCTTCTGCAGGGAATGAGGACCTTCTCCCCAGAGGCATTCAAGCGCTCGATAAGGCTGGGAAGGAGGGCTTTCTGCCTGGCATACTAAGTTAGAATAGATGATTTCCAAGTCCCTTCCATGCTGAGCTTCTTGGGTGCTCCCTGCCAGGGATCCTGGGGTGGGCATTGCAGGAAAACTAAGACACTCGTGGCTCCTGCTTTCTAGAAAACATTCCTTTGTCAGGTTGTAGTGAAGGAAGACTACAGTGACAATAGGAAATGTAAGTTACTGGGAGGAAGAAATTTACCAGATGGGACTGCATTCGTGGCTGCATAATTAGTAGTAATAATTACAGTATCAGCAGCCAATGTGTTTCTGACCCTATAGCCACTGCTCTACCCCACCAAATGCCCCACCGGCAGAGAAAGGTCACCAGGAGCCGCGTGCCTCCCTTCTCTCGGAGAAAGGGAGACAGATGTAGGGAGGTGTCAGGTGCTGTTTCTCACTTCAGATGCCTTTCCTCAATTATGCAGGAACCCTAGGAGGTAGATACTAATATCTCCGATGTCCAGGTGAGGAAACTGAGGCTCAGGAAGTGACAAAGCCTGCCCAAGATTACACAGTGTCAGTGCGGGACTCGAGCCCAGGCCTTTTGGGCTCTAGAACCCTCATGCTTTGTACCCCACCAGGTTTGAGGGCACAGTTTGCTCTCTTTTGAGCTTCAGTTTGGTCCTGAGTTGGTCTGAACTTCCTTGTCAGGCTGTTTAATGTGCCCTCTGCATCTATGTCCTGGTGGAAGGTAACACATTGAATTTTCTTTTTCTCACTCTGTGTCAGCTGAGGAGAGAGTGGGAGCGCCCTGCCACTGATCTGGGTCACCACCCCAGACAGGAGTTACTGCCCCCAGAACCAGCCTTGGCAAAGAAAGTGAAGCCCTGGCAGATGAGGGTCTCTCTTGAGAGAGGGTCACCATGGATACAGGAGCCCCTGCTGTCACCAAGGAGATAGCCCCCCAGCCTTTAGGCTGTGACAGGGAGGATGTGGCTCCATGAAGGAAAACTGTCACCTAAGGCCAAAATGGACAGAGGAGAGGATGGAGGCTAGATACAGTCAGAGAAGGATTGTGGAGTCAGTGGGGCTCCATCCTGGGAATGGGGATCCTAGGAACAACCGGGCTTCCTTCTTCCCTTACCCTGTCCCCACCTGAGGGGAGGTTGCCATGATAACCAGTTCCCCTTCACTGACTCTCTGTAAGGAGCTGTCCCCTTTCTTCCAGTGACAGGTGGTTACCCTGGCAGCAGACTCTGTGCCCAGCAGGGGTCTCCAGCTTCCCAGCATGTGAAGATAGATCATTCTGCTGCACATCAGCTCTGTCCAGTTAGAGGTGAAAGTTCACACGGGGCCAACTTTCAGATGAGGGCCTTTTATTAGCCCCTCACCAGACTGCCCAGTGATCACAGTCGGGTGCTGTTCTGAGAGAATTAGTGGTCTAGCCAGTGGGACACTGGGCTGTCCAGCTGGCCTGCCCTCCAACCCTAACACTCACCACCTCCAGCCCCTGAGCTCGGGCCACATTGATGCAAGCATGCCAGCAGCACCTCACACCTCAGGGCCTTTGCATATGCTGTTCGGGCCTCTGGAATTCCTTTCCCCTCTTTAAGGCCAGCTAAGCCATTATTTCCTCTTTGGAGCTTCTCTGTACTCCTGCAGCCCTACCTACACATTGATGTCTTCATTCAGGCTCTGGCAACACCTTGCCCCCGCCACCTCCATTACTGCAACACCACACTGCGGGCTCCGTGGTGTGGGAGGCACAGTCCCTGCCCCTGCGGGCTCAGGTGCTCTCAGTGATTGAGCTGGGGTAGGGCCAGTGCTGTACAGAAGACGGTGAAGGATCTGGGTGTTACAGAGAGGGCTTCTTAGACATGGTGGTCCGTGTGGAGTTGAAGGGTCTGCAAACAAAGCACGAACCCTTGCGCAGACCTCATTGCGTTTACTCCTCGCTGCAGCCCTACCAGGCAGAAACTGTCATCCCTGTTTTACAGATGAGCAAATGGGACCCAAGAGGGGAATTCACTGGGCCGCAGTCAGCAAGCACGTGGCAGAGCTGTGGTTTGCCGGGATGCCAACACTAAATCCTGAGCTCTGTCTATCCCCCTGTGCTGCCACAGAGCCCAGGCACCTGTGTGGCCTGAGACTCTGCTTTGGGAGCTTGTCTCCAGTGAAGATTGACCAGTTTCCTCATGACAGACCCCAGATTCCCCTGTCCAGTCAGCCCCAAGCCCACTTTCAGTACCTACCAGGCTTCTCTTGAGGACAGCCTGGGTGGCTGGCGTGTGCACCTCCAGGCCCCAGGAACAAAAGCAGCCTATGTGGGAAAGGGCAGGTGTGGGTGTTACCTACACATGTGTCCAGACCTGTGTATGAGGCCCCTGCCCAGAAGGAAGCCAGAAGTAGGAATGCTGGCTGCAGCTAGAAGATGCTGTCTTCCAGCACAGGACCTTAAGGAGGCAGAGAAATTTAAGTTCACAGCCTGACCTTCCAGACCATTGTGTCTAGGTAAGAGCATAGGACATAGTGTATTTAAGAGTTTGTCAGCTTGGTTTATAGCTTAAATACTTAGACACTCTTGGCTTAGCCCTGAAGACCCCCAGTGTTAGAAGGGTATGGAGTTGGTGTGGGGTGCAGGTGCCTGATCAGCTTTGGGCGATTCCAACTGCTCCAGCCTGTCACTACCTGTCTGTTATCAGTCGCCCCATGTGCCATCTGAGTAGGCTGCTGTCCCCAAGCTGCTACTAGCTGTTGCCATCCCCAAGACAGGCCACCTGGGACTCAGGGATCCCCCACTAAAGTGAGAGGCTGTCTCGGGCCCATCCTGGGCATTACACCGTGTTTGTCAGCTGTGACGGGCTAGGCTGGTTGGCCCCT